GCCGAGTCTGCCACATGCAAATACTATACACTCGATTTTGTTCGAATCCAGTCCATGCCTTTTACAGATCTGAGTTCTTAGGGTAGGATTTTCACGTAAAGTTTCCAACTTTACGTGTAGAAATGCATGGAATGGGGATTAAAGGCGAAATAGGGGCTAAGAAGGTGGATCTAGGACATTCAAGCAATTTACTCCCATAAAGGTTGTAGATCTGAGCTTCTGGAGCTCAAACATGACTAGATCTAGTGGATAATCAACCTATAACGGATTCTACTTCATGCACAAGCTTGGAAAAAGGTTCAAGAAGAGCTCAAAAGGTGCTCTAATGGGGTTTAAGCATACAAACAGAATGGAGCAGAGATATACCTTAGAGAACTCTGAAATAGCACCAAGATATCTGGTCTCCTTCTCCTCTTCTTGATCCACTCTCCTTCTTCTCCCAAAAACTTCAAGGAATCACTCTAAACACTTCAATCTCACAAGAAACGAGTTAGGGTTTGATGTAGGGCGCTCTGAGGGTGAAAGGGGGCGAGCTTGGGCCGCACAAGCTAGCTTAAATAGGGGGCAAACCCTTGTAATTAGGGTTTCATCAGACAACGGGGACTCGCCGAGTCCGGAATATGGACTCACCGAGTCGCCAACTTAAACATGCTCCGGGTCCCATCTCTACTCGGCGAGTCGGACCTACAACTCGTCGAGTCCAAGGCTAAAAATGAAAAAAAAAACACAAAGATAAATTTTACGTACCAGGAACTTGGTGCTACAAAGACAAAGAGGATAGTGTGAGTTTTAGAAAGCAGTTTGATGAAATGACTAAGAAATTGGTGATTCATAATTTTTTTTTATGGATGCTTTTTGTTATGTTTGTAGTGAAAATCATGACAAGTTAATGGTATTTGTATGCTTTTATAAAAGGCAATGTACTTTGAAAGTAGTTTTAATAAAATCAAATGGGAAATGTACTTAGGTGTTGTTCTTTTAATCACATGGTGGGAGTTAAGGCATTGTAATAATTAGAGTTCATCATAGCAAAGGAAAAATTGTAACGGCCCAAATTTAAAGAAAAGTTTAACTTTTATAATCATAAATACCAACCACAATTGTTTCCAGAAAAAAACCCATTACATGACCATAGTGATTTAAAAGATTAGAGTATCAAAACTAATTATGAAAACACTGGAGAATGCACGCCGAGCCATCAAACCGGACCCTTACCCTTAGAACTAGAAGTACCTGAAACATCCAACAAAACTGTAAGCACAAGCTTAGTGAATTTCCCAAAACACACAAAACATATAATCACATAATGCCATGCACACATACATATAAGTTTGCCATGGACTCCCTCCATGGTCTTCATTTGGAATGTCATGGGCTACCCCCATGGTCTTGTATCCCTGAGCCATGGGCTCCTCCCATGGTCTTGCCAAGTGTCATGGACTCCTCCCATGGTCTTCACATAAGTTCACACATATATCAAATAGCAAACCATTACATACTCCATTACTAATCATATCATATCAATTAATGGGCCGACCTTGGTGCCTTCGACCCATGAGTGTAGTGAGAAGACTCACCTCAAATACTGAACGACAGATGACTAGGTCTTGGCTCCAAATGTTAGTTCTACTCAACCCCTAAAAAAATGATTCCTTAAATACAACTCAAAATGCCCCAAAACCCATTATAGGTCAAACTCGGTCAAAGACAAAGTCAAAAGTCCAGGTCAACAGTTCGAGTTGACCAAACACGCCGTGTTTCTTCATCTATTGCAATATTGGGAAAAACCTTATTAACTTGCCCTTGTTCACTAAGTAACACGCCGAGTTAGCCATAATTTCAACAGCTTAATGTATTAAGATATTTCCATCGAATTTAGGAGCTCCAAATCTCAGGTCTCCTCCAAAATGATGTCTAGAAGGGTAAAGTTTCCAACTTTACCCTTAGGAACCACCAAAATGAGTCAAACCCGAACCCCAGACTCACTAGAGTGAAGCTTGACCCGCTAAGCCCTTAATCTCCAAAGACATAGTCCCAAAAAGCAGATCTGACATCCAAAGGCTAGAAAATCACGTAAAGTTTCCAACTTTACGTCCCTGCACACTAAAAAGAAGCTCTATGGCTCAAGAAGGGCCTAATAAAGGACTTCAAGCATGAATGGGACCTAGAACCTAGTAAAGCTTGCAAATTTAAGCCAAATGACGCCACAAAATGGCCAGATCTAACATAACAACCCCTAGAACACACAACTTCTTGGACACCCAACCATGAGTCTGAAATCAAGATAAAACCCAAAACAAAGAGATCTAAACAATAACAAAGCAAGGTATAAACTTGATACCTCCAAGAGACTGCAACAAGTGGGGAGATTCTAGATCTAAGTCTTCCCTCCAAGCTATACGCCTTCAACTTCAAAGCTTCTTCAAAAGAGTACAAAATGATCAACACTCAAGGCCCTCCACAAGCTCACACACTCACAAAGGACGATGATACACACTATTAGGGTTTCTGGACAGAGGAGGTAGGTAAGGAGGCCAACCAAGGGACTTAAGGCCTTTAAATAGGGTGGAACACCCTGGAAATTAGGGTTTCCTTCCCAACCACCAACACGCCGAGTTGAGACACCTCGACTCGTCGTGTTGGTTCATTAATTTCCGAGGCCAAAGTCATCTTTGTTAGAATAGTGTCCAAGGTCATTAACTATTAGTAATATTTCTAATAATAGCAGGGTCCTTTTGGGTTGCCCCCAAGACCCAAATTGAGTAGAATAAATAAATGAGAAATTGGTTTATTAATTATTATGGTTAATAATGAATTAGAAACTAATTGGAAATATATTATGGGAATTAATTAACAATTTAATTAATTAAAGGGTTGAATGTTCATTAATTGATAGTTGGTTAATCAGGAATGTTCCAGAACCTTTTATGGGATTAGGGTTGGATGAAAATCACTCCATCCTACATGGGAAAGGAGTGAAATTTCATGGTTAAGCCTCCATCCCACATGGGAAGGAGTATCAAACCCTAGGAGGCATCCAAGGCTATAAATAGGGCCTTAGGGATTTCATTCCTCCTTGCACCTTGGCTTGAAGTTTTCGCCAACCCTTCTTCCTCCCCTCTTAAGGGACGATTTCTAACCCCTTTGGGTTTGTGAAATTGACCCTTCTCCTAGTTATTTTCATTCCACTCTTTGGTGTCCTTGGGTGTGATACCATTAAAGGGATTTTGGTTTGGGTCCTTTCATCCAAGCAACCTCATGGAGGTTCAAGATCTCAAGCTTGGAGATCAAGGGCTACATAAAAGGTATGTTTTCTTACTTATGTTTTAGTTTTCTAGGGTTAATATAATTAGCATGAAGCCATAGATCCATAGGATGCATGTACACTTAGGTATATCGTTGTTTCGATTTTTCCGCTGCCTAGTTTTAGAGTGTATTTGATGCATAGAAAACCCAACAGTGGTATCAAAGCCATTGGTTCATGGTTAATTTCACCCTAGATCCATGTTTTATGTAAAAACTTGTTTGGAATTGAATGATGAAAGAATAATTGAAAATTTCATAATGTGTTGAAACCCTAGTCGTAGCTCACGACGTGAACTTAGCAGATTCGGGATTTTCGAATTTTCCTTTAATTTTCAAATATGAAGCTTTGATAAACATGGATAAATACCTAATTTAAATTGTTTTTGAATTTGGAAAATTAATAAATATTATTTAAATGTGTTTATTTAAATTTGAATATTTATTTGGTAATTGATAAATATTATTTAAATATGTTTATTTGAATTTGGATATTTATCTATTATTTAAATAGTGAATTTCATATTTAAGATTATTTGTAATAGAGAATTATAAATTTGAATATTAACCCCTCATGATTTATTAATTGTTACATTGCGTCCTCGCAATTAATTAGAATTAATAATAGACAACTAAATTTAAAGAGTTTTAAATTTACCCCTTGTATTTATATATATTAGAATTGTGTTTATTATATGTATAAGAAAGTTACAACATGCGCCCTCGCGTGTTTAAATGTTGACATTGTCAGTCTTACCTCGACTGTAACACTCGTTTATTTATTAGTTAATAAATAAATTAATGAACGAATGGTAGCCTAAAATAAATAATTATATATGCAGGGTGTTGGGTTCGAGGAGTTAATTGCCACATTTTTAGAAGTCGGGGGTTAAAAACATGAGTTTGAGACTCATTTTATAAATATTTATGAAGACAGGGGCTCTGTGGTAATTACCGAGAATTATTTTTTTAAAAGAAATGAGGCAGAGGGGCTGAATATGTTATAATTAAGACCATGGTTGCAGAAATCGGGATTAATCGTTTGGCGTTCTCCAACCGTCGAGGATTAGGGCATTAATAGGGTTTGGCGGGATTAATCGGTCAACAAAAATCAAAAAAGTCGAAAAAAGTAAAAAATAAAGTCAAAAGATTTTTTAAAAATTCAAAAAACCAACTTTGTTTTTTTACTCCAAAATTTTCAAATTTTCAAAATTTCAAATATTATACAAAAATGTTCATATTTTCGTATTTCCAAATTACAATTTTTCTTATTTTCTAATTTTGAAGTACTTGTTTTTCTTAAGATATATTAATATTTAATTAATTTTAATATTTTATTAATAATCTATGGTCCTCGATTAATCCCCGCCAAGACCGATTAATCCCTTAACACCAGTCGACCGTCGAGCTACTGTCAAACGATTTTTACAACCTTGATTAAGACATTGGGGAACTGTTTGGTAAATTGTGTACCTAATTTGTAAAGGGTTTTAGATGGTGGGGTTCAGATGGTAACTTATGGACTGATTGTGAAAGGATTTTAGATGTTGGGGGCTGCTTTGTAAAATACGACCTTATTTTGAAAGAAAATGTCATGGGGAGGGATCAGTCTTACCATTATGGTAACAAGTTTGGTGTGGAGGCGGGTATATAAGTCACAGCAAACCCTAACCCTAGCTAAGAGGGTGCAACCGCTATCATCGGAGATCTCCAGCCGCCACCTCCACTCTCACGATCTCCGACGCTGCTCCACCACCTCCGTTGAGGTCGCCACCGCCGCAGTCAAAGTTGAAGACCACCAGGAGCGCCATCGTCGTCTCACCGCTGACGAAGAAGGGGGTGTCGGCTTCCAGTTGTGATGCTCGGAGGTTGCATTTGTTGTGGTTGATGTTATCGTTTCCTCCGTGTTCTCCCGTAGCTACACAACGGTTTACGACCGTCGGCACCGTCACCAAGGGCTCGTCACGATTGGGATGCATCCGACTAGCTCTTGCCATTAGGAGGAAAAGGTCGTCACCGGTGAAGACCGTGAAGCGACGAAAGGAACGATGAGGACGTCGGGAGAAGCCGGAAAGAGCTGGAATGTGGCTGTGACATCACGAAAACTTCCTCTTCTCCGGTTCGTTGCTGCAACGCCGCCTTAAACCATCGTTGTGGCTGTTGCCGCCACTCGTGAGTACTCTACCACTGTCGTATGCCGCTAGATCGATGGTTGGAGTGCACCTCGTGAATCAGAAGCATGTATGTGTGTGTAACTTGGCCGGAAAAATGAAGGAAAGGCCCCCACCACCACCGTGAGGTGGTGGCTGCCGCCATGCACCACCGTCGGCCACCTCAAGGTGGTTTGTGTGTGTATGTTTAGCTTAGTTAGTGTATGTGTGTTGGTTTGGTATTTTCGTTGTAATTGTAACTCAAAAGCGAAATAATGGAAAGAAATTGGAAACCACCACCCTAGGGTGGTGGCTGCCGCCACCGGCCGCCGTGTCGGGTGGCGGTGTGCTTTGCCTCGTGGTGTTGATTCGTTTGGGGTGCTTGAAACCCTAATGGGCCCACTGAAGCTTAATGGACTCTAATGGACCCAATAAAACCCTAATGGGCTTAATAATATTTTAGTGGGCTTAATAGGCCCAATAAAGCCCTAATTGATCTAAAAGCCCAACAAATTAATAAATGGGCTAGTATTTAGGTTGGAAACCCTAATTAGGGTTTGGAAAACCCTAATGCCATCAAAACCCTAATTTTGTGGGAATTAATCAAGACACACGAGACTTATTAATAACTTGGAATATTAAATAATAATCATTGGCGAAAATTAATCTAAGCAATATTGGACTTAATGGATTAAGTCCTTAATGAGTTAAGTAGGATACTTAACCCTAATCATTATTTTATGAGAAACCCTAATTCCACTTGGGTTCATTGTTGGGCCTTCTATTGGGCCTTGATGATTGGGTAATTAATGGGCTTTGAGGTAAGGCTTATATGAGGAGTTGGGCCCAATTTGGAAAATTGGGCCATAAATGGGCCATGGTTTGGCCCTTAATGATTATATGACATTGGGCCATTAGAAGGTCAAATGTTGGACTAGACTTTTGGTTGGGCCTTATGGTAAGACCTTATAAAGGTTTGGGCCCAATTTGGAAAATTGGGCCATGTGTTGGGCTTTGATTCTTAGTTGACTTTGGGCCTATAGATTGGGCCTTGGGCTTGAATAAGCCAAGCTTAGGGTAATGTAGTAATTATCCAAGATTGTATTATGGTTATGTGTTGGGACCCAATTATTAATTGGGTGTTATTTTGGTATTGACAGTTCGGGAACCTGTTATCCAGCAGCTGGGGTTGAGTCTGCGGGACTACAGCAGTGTGGGATTGTGTCTACGGAACTTCAGCAGTGTGGGATTGTGGTAGTAGCAGGGAATAGTTTTTCCCTGACTCGGTTGTTAGGACCGAAGGGTAGGTCAGTACCCCAGATATGGCTAAGTATGATTATATCCTGTCATTGTATGATAGTGGTAGGGTGTGAAATAGTCCCCAGTTACCGGTTGAAAGATACCGATGGCGGATACCAGTTGAAAGATACCGATGACAGTTACCGGTTGAAAGATACTGATGACAGTTACCGGTTGAAAGATACCGAAGGGGTATACGGAACCCATGCAACGCTTATCTGTCTGTTTATGACATGTTAGTATGTAATCAACATGTTTATGATGTTAGTAGGTGATCAGTATGTTTATGATATATTATTATGTGATAGTGGTAGGGGTGAAATAGTCCCCGGATACTGGTTGAAAGATACCGATGGTATTATGTGGTATGTGGTATGATGGGGGAACTCACTAAACTTCGTGCTTATGGTTTACAGTTTTGGTTTCAGGTGCTTTGTTTTCAAAGGAAAGGAGTCGGCTTGATCGCGGCGCATCACACTATGATTTCCGCACATAAGATCCTTGGGGTTACATTCTGATATGGTTTTATGTTATTATGTTTTATTATTGACACTCTGGTTTTGACATGAGACATTATTATTGACGGTTTTATTACATATGGTTTTATATTAACTTATTTAAAAACGAAATTTTTGGTCTTGAATTTTGGGATGTTACAAGTTGGTATCAGAGTCTTGGTTTGAGGGATTCAGGCACAGTACTCTCGGGTGTGTCTGAACTCAAACTGAGGGTTTGGCATGAAAATTTTCAAAAGAAAATCATTTTTATAAAAAGAATTTGAAAAGAATTTGGAAGGAGAAAATAACTTTGAAGAGAACAAGGTGTGTGATGCGTGCAATCAGCCGAGCTCAAGTAAGTTTTCCCCAAGATACTCATACATGTTATGTTATGATATGATATGATGATGAGAACTGCATGCTAGATTAGGGCTAAGGATCTAGAAAGATGCCTTATATGCCTACTGTATGTGCTTGTTGAGCTACATGATAGTAATGATTAGTTAGTGATAAGATAGCCTGTTTAGGTTATGCCTGACTGTGTGAGCCTTAGAATCGCATGCTAGTATAGATCCCTGGCAAGAGGATAGACTGATCTGACTGGAATATGTTGGTTAGATTTTCCATTGTCTGAATGCTGCTTTCTTTGTGCTTTGAGGGACTCTTAGTAATGTGAACTATCTACTAAGTGAATATGCTAAGTCGCGAGTGGCTATATTCATGAGGTAGCAAGTTGACATTAGTGGGAAGTCCTTTAGCAGCTAAGGACTGGGTGAGTACGGGAACCTAGGAAAGCCTAGGAAGTGCTTTAGTGGGTTTGGTTGTGTTGTTAGCAAGCATTCAGGGTACCAGTTTGAGGAAGTGACTTGGAGGATTCAGGAGGATTACTGAGGAAAGTATGGATAGGTGTGGAAGGTAGTATTGGTCCCGTACTACTGAAAGCACATGATCCATACTCGAATCGGCGATAGTCTTGGAGAATCTAAGAAGCTTCGGGGAGAAGTATGTGACCCGGTTTGGGGACAGAGGATGTTCCAGTTGTTACAGCTTAGCCATTGGCAAGCGAGCTAGTAAGCGTGACAGGGTGTCAGGCCCTGAAGGATATGATTTCCAAGAGGGTGCAAATGCGAGATCGATTTGGAGCACTTTGAGAAGAGAGGTTCGTGCCAGGTGTGTATGGTAGAAGGTCCCGAGGAGAGATCCATGACCTCCGATCATCGGGTGAAAGGCTAGCAGGTTCGGGGTCAGTGCAACACGTACGAGAAAGTACACAAGGGAGTTTGTCACTCTAGGGGTTTAGGCTGCTACAGGTGTGGCCGGGTTGATCATGTCAGCTGGAGATGATCGGTATTCCTCCAGATGTTGTGGGTATGTCATCTTCTACTGCTAATAAATGGATGATGGGAATACGTATCGCTTTGGGATTGTGAGCGAGTTTGGGTAAGTCAGATCTCGGGTCGGTTTTCTGCTAGTGTTTGGGTTATCAAGGATCATATATGCCATCCAACATGCCGAAAGGTTCTTGATGAACCCACATAGGGACGTACCTTGAAGAGTGGGTTCCGCGTGTACCATTATCATTCCGGATCTTTGTCGAGATCTGTGCAGGAGTATTGTTTGGAAGATCCTCGGTCAAGATTAGAGCGATAATTCTCCAGTGAAGTTAGTGTTCAGTGGTACTGTGAGATTGGAAGTGGGAACGAGGACTCGTCAGCCAGATTGAAGATTAAGGCCTCTAGTGTCAGCACGGGAGATGGATTGAAGTGTTAGATTGGACTAGATTCCAAGAGTACTCTTCAAGATTTCAGAGGATGGGCGATCTTAAGGTTTAATCGGTGATTAAACATTAGCAGTGGTAGGCACAGGTTGTCATCTGTGGGATACTATAAAGCGAGAAGGATTGAGAATCCTTCAATTCTCGCGTGCTATGGAGGCTTAGTCAAATCTAAGTGGGGGACAAACTTTTTATAAAGTCCTCCAAATGCGAGTTCTGGTTGCACGGGGTACAATTGATGGGTTATGAGCAAAACATCATTCCTATGGTGTACATGCAAACCATAATAGCTTTTGTATCTAGTTTGTCTAATGAACATGCAATTGAATATCCAAAGCTATAAACCCTAGATCTAGTATACAATTAATCATATTAACATAAGATTGGGGTTTAGATCTTACCTTGATTGTTGTAGCAATAACAATCTCAAATCCTCCTTTGTAATGGCTTTAGAAAGCTTAGAGTCACAAGTGTCATTCCTCTAATGGCTCACAAACACCAAGAGCAAGAGGATGAAGAATGATAAGAGAGGAGGCACCCAAAAACGTGTGGAAATCCTAAGGAAACTCTTCACCACGTTTTTGGTGCTCTAGGGATCCTTAAATAGTGAGGCTATCAGGGTTATCTAACAAGGATACCCTAATTTGACTGCTTAGGCCCTAAGCAACCCATGGACTCCCTCCTTAGAGGCCTTGGACGATTTCTAATGGGTTTCCCCATAGAATTCGTCCACTCCATCCTCTATGGAGTCCATTAGCCTAATATTTAACTATCACACAATTGATAGTTCTAGTCCCCTTTATTTAATTAATGTCTTTTAGCCACAAAATCAATTCTTATTAATTATTAACTAATATTAATTAAATAATATGATTTCTCCTTTAATTATATTATTCTCATAATATATTAATAAATCATAATTAATCATCTCTCTCCATAATTCATCTTATCAAGTTGCTTTGGTGAAAGCAACCCAAAAGGACCATGCACCATCAGGTCAAGTACATACCAAAAATAGTTATGGACTTAGACACTAATCCAACAGTCTTCCACTTGGATAAGTCTAATAACTATTTTGCGTATGACTTCAGATCCTGATCCGCAATCGTAGCTTTCAAAAGCCGCTGTCAAATCTGATCTTATCAGATACACGTCCTTCAGATAAGGGATCATATATTCCTCCATTCTAGATATCGTATAGATTGAGACATGGATTTAAATCATTCTCTTTGTCTATGTATTTGTTACACCCTCGTCCGCCGGCGGAAGTGCCAAGG